AATGAACTCATGCCCATGGCTTAGCCATATCTTGTTGAAAATTTGTAACATGTTTATTTGCCAAATGTTGCATGTCAAGCTTTATATGAAATGAAAGGCACCAGAATATGTCTTTAAAAGGAAACTATAAGGTTATTAGAACTTAAATTTTTTAATTCGAATCTTGATACAAATGAAATGAAATTTATGAGATAAATCAAAGAATGTTATATTTTATTATATAGTTCAAAATTCTCACTTACATAAATAAATTATCAAAATTTTTTTAAAAAAATTAATATGCTAATATTCTACAAAAAAGAGAGAGAAATTAAGGTCAAAATTCATGAAATGACAAATGAAATTAATTATAATAAAATAGAACAAAGTGGACAAAAAAGAGCAAAAACAAATGATTGAGGAAACCCACTAGTGAAAGAAAACAAAGGTCAAAACATATTTAAAAATTAAGTATGTTTTGTGTTGAGTTGTCCAAACATGAATATGCATGGAATGGTTTCAAGGACAGCACAAACATGTTCTTAAGGGTCTCATCGTCGACCAAAAAGAGGCCACAAAACTTAAATTTATAAGAAATGGAAGGAAATAAGATGATAATGGAGTGGTGGGTGTGGAAGGAAGGCTGGAAATGAGAGATTGATTGAGGGGAAGAGAGAAGCTAATTGTCATGAAGACATTAGAGAGGACAAATTTATGATTAAAGACAAATGATTGTACAAAACTTCTTATCATATGTTTGTCATTGTCTTAACCCTTTATTAGATTTATCAAAGAATTTGGGATATTGAATTTAACTTGAATTGCACATGGTAAGATGTTGTTTGGTATCAAGGATGTACATCCATGTTTCTTGCAATGTACTTAATTAAATTACATTATAGCATTTGTTTTAAAATAAATTAAGATAACCTAAGATTGTAATACAATCACATTATAGTCAACAGATGTAATGTGATTATATTAAAAAACTGATATAATCTCATATTACAACTTACTCTACAATGTTATCAAGCTTGATTTGACATTTTTGCCATTTTCCAATCATTAAAATTTTAAAACTTAATTTTTGTCACTTTAAAAAAATTTAAAGAATTAAAAATATTTTTAAAATTTTTGAAAAAAAATCTATAAATTTTTAAAAACATAAAAATAATTTTTTAATTTGTAGAAATTATAAAAAAAATTTAGAACAATCAAAAATAATTTTTAATTATTTAAAAAATTCTAGAAGGATAAAAAATAGAATAATTTTTATTTTTAAGAAATTATAAAAGATTAGAAAATCCATAAAATAAAAGTTATTTTTAGAATTTTTGAAAAATAGAAAATATTCTTCTTTATGCTCATAATTTTTACAAATTATAAAAATTATTTCCTCTTTGTAATTTTTAATAAACTTTTAAAAATAAAAAAAATTTCTTTTTTTACTTTCAATTTTTTTTTAAAAAATCCCTTTTGGTTTTTTACATTTTTGGTTTTTTCCAAAAAGAATTATTTCCATTTTTAATGTTTTAGGAATATTTCAAAATAATAAAAACAATATATTTTGAAATTTTCAAAATTGCTAGCAAATAAAAAGTTATTTTCTAATTAATATCAACACAATTTTGCCTGATACTTGATTATTTGTTAGAAAATTTATTTAAGTGGTGATATCATATAAAAATTTACAATAAAAAACATAAAAAGTATATTAAATCTATATTTTAATACATAGTGATAATTCTAGTAAAGAGCTTACAAATCAAATGTTACAATATTATCTTTTTAACATTTTAATCATTTTTCTTAATATATCAAACGATGAAATATTATCTTACCAGTAATCATATTTTTTGTAATCATATTATCTGCTATCATATTCCCTGTAATATAATTATATTATAAAGTACTAAACACAATTTTAAAAAACAACTATTAAGTGCTTCTGCATTAATAATTATTGTCTATAATATTCCCTTAAGCTCAAATTCAGTCTAACTATTTGTTTAAACAACCATCATTTATCATTCGAATATTTAATTTATTAGTTGATGCATAATTTTCTATCTAAAGAGCAGGATTCAAATCTCTCATCTTCTTATTAAAATACAATCACCATTTAATAAAAGTTATAAGCTATAATCAAAGGAAAAATACATAAAAAATCCAAAAATGTAATCATATCCCCGTTATATTTATATATTAATTCACCAACAAATTCTTTAACTGTTTTCAGGCTTAAAATCGGTTGTTTGTGTCAACATTACACATGACATGACAGCATGAAGTTATGACATGGACGTTCATATAATTAATCAACATACATTTTAATTCTCAGCCCGACGTTTTTTTATTTAAGTTTTCTTAGATTGATTTTTTTTTATAAAAAATAAAAATTAATTAAAGTAAATAGTAAAAACATTTAACCGACTAAGCTTGAAAAATTAGTAGTAAAAAGTGTGATTTTACAAATATATATATATATATATATTTAAAGTGGAGATTTAAACTTTGACTATTTCAATTTTTTTAAAGAATGTACCAATCATTAAGTTAAGTCTAATTAAATCCTTTACCATATAGAATAATGACAACATGCGAAATATTAATA